GATAGCATCACTTTCCTTTGCAATGATTCGTGGATCTTTGAGATTAGCCGTGTCAAACACAACTTATATGAGATTCTCATTTAGGTGATCTTGGAAATTTGCAGCGCAGACAAGGTTTGAAATGTGGGGAGCTGATCGGAGAAACAGTAAACGCATGGTTTCTGGACTATCTTGTGTATTTCAATTCTCCAATCTGAATTGCAGGAAACAGCACTTGAAGACAATGGATTCTGGAAGCTGGCCTGCTCTTTAATGTTCTGAGTTATTTCTTTACATTGCTCAGAGAATACAATGTATTTGGACATACATTCTTCTTGAAGTTAAGCAATAATACTCTGTGAGTCCTCCATTAATCAGAAATTCTGTATTTATGATATTAACAGTGTGGAAAGGAATGCAAATACATAAAAAAAATCATAATGGCCGTAGTCATGGATCAAAATGTAGTACATGCAATTTCTTGATGCTATGAAGAAATACAGAATATTTGCTTTGTGCAACATTTAGGGACTGAGAACTCTAAAGCTTTCCAAAAAGTGGAAGACGGGCAAGTGTGTGCTTATGAAATAATAATACTGTCAGTGTGCCCCCTTTCAAATTTTGGTCAGCTGATTGATTTTTACGAAACTTCGCATGAACATTATGCCAGTGAAGGCCATCTCAACCTCTTATCGTTTAATTTATTATAATCAGTAATAATATGACAAACACTTGTGAGGCAGAAACAACACAAGTGCCACTTAAAATGAGACAAATTATGTAACATATCTGAAAAATATGTAAAATTTGAGGTTTTCACAGCGGTGAGTCTGAAGATTTCTGTCTTCTAGAACATCGACCAGACCACACGGCGTAACAACCCAGAAGACAGAAATCTTCTTCTTTTTAATGTGTTTTGACAAAATTTTATATTTTCAAGTAAAGATGCCAGTTGTGTGTATTGCCCTAAAAAGCACTGATAGTAACTATCATATTAGAACTTGGAATGTGAAACATTCTACAGGAACAGTCATAAATAAAAATATATCTACAAATTACTGTACTACATCATGAGAGAATGTATCTTTCAGGTGATATCAAACAAATTAAACACACAGAGTCTATACATAAGCAATAAGTTAATATATAGAAAATAGGGAGTATTGAAGTGGTGACTCGTACCACAGATACAGGAAGTGCAGCGCCGATACGGAAACCCCCGTGTAGGCTACCGTACGCTTTAAGAGATGTTACGGAAGAGTAAATTCAAGATTTGTTGGAAAAAGGTATCATACGTGAAAGTGATAGATAGTCCATGGACAAGCCCCGCCATATTGACCCCAAAAAGGAGTATGGGTGTGGCGCACACAAATGGAGAGATGCACAGATTTTAGAGGTTCAAATGCACTAACCAAGTTTCAGGCATTTCCCGCGGTGGCGTCTTTGCCTGGAAGCCGTTACTTCACGGTGCTGGATTTCTTGATTCGGGAAAACATGGCAAAAGCTGCAAAGCGACAGTTTTTGTCAGAGCGTCTGTAGAAATAGCTTTGACAAAGGTCAGTATTACCTTGACAAAGATGGCTTACTACATCGGCGAGCGGGAGGTCGTTGCCCCGATCAGCTGGCAATACCGAATGGGTTAGTACATGACGTCATAGCCTCGCGTCGCAACCAGGACAGAAGCCACGGATGTAGCGAGCGATACAATCCCATGTCAGCAAATGCGAATCGTACGCTCGACGGAAACAAGAATTCCTTTTAATCATAATAGATGTTACCAAGTCACTGACTCTTCTGGACCAATCACAAAGTGGCTACTGATTCAGCTGAACCAGTACTAAAGTGTGTTTTGCTGTTAAAGATTCATGGAATAAGGGGCTTGTTTCTGTTTGTAATTTTCCCTTTACGTTTATCAGGTGTGGGTTTCCACAGTATTGCTGACAGTTATGTCTTATTTCTTAATTGAAAGATGCTAAGTTTGATTTTATTGTGAAAGCTGAATTTCTAACATGATTTGAGACACAATTATCTTGTTTTGTGTGCGTGTTACTGTGTTATGTTCCTTGCAGTATGTATGTGTTTTGCACATGGATGCATGTGTAAGCCTCAAATTTTTCAGATTTCCTATGAATCCTTGGTTCCTTTTTATTCAGTCACATAATGCCCTTATTTTGTAACTTTTATGGACATATTAAAGAGACAAGGAGGTGGAAGAGAAAATACTGCATTCTTTGTAAATGTGAAGTTTACATTTACTGAATATCTTTAATCAAAATATCAGGGGACTGAGGGCAAAAGTGATGAATTATGTCATACAGACTGTCTCAATGAAAACAGCCACAAAAAACTGATTATAAGCCCAAAGAATTTGTCTCATACTGTAAATTTGTCAAGAATTCACGGTGACAAAATTGATAATATTTTTGTAGATAATATAAAACTAAGCTCATCTACATTTACCGTAATAAATTCATCGACTACTATAGTACATTTGAAACAGAGAACTGTAAAAATAATGACAGTCATTCAGTTTCAAATTCTACTAAAAAACTAAACTTGGTAAAACTGTTGAAAAAAAAGACAGTTATACCAAGAATAAGTTTAATTCATTTTGTTTTAAAGAGGACTGTCTTCTGGGTAATTGCACTGTGTAGTCTGGTAGAATGGTGAACAACCTAGAGATGGCCATTTCATGTTACCACCATGAGAACCTCAAATCTCGCTGATTTACGTAATACTTTTCTGCAGTATTTGAAGCCAGTTTTCTGATTAAATATTAAAGTATGCACAAGATAATGGACTGGATTACATAATAGAAATGTAAAAAGAGCCTATTATATCTACAACAGGAACACTAATGATCCAATAATAACCATTGTAAAATCCTTAATAAAGTTAAAAAAGGGAAAAAAAGTTTTATAATAAACTTAGAGCAAAATATAATCAAAATAGAAACAGCATGTAACTTGGTAAAGTAGGAAACAGGACAAATACATTTAACTGAACAGATGCCCTCTTTATATAAACAATAAAAACTTAAAAGGGTCCAGAAAGATGCTGATGCCTTCAGTAGTTTCTTTTTAACAATAGCTGAAAGATAAGTTTACATGAATTAGGAAAAGAAGATGCGATTTCATTTTTAACATTTATTTCCAATAAATTCCTCGGTTTAAAAATGATTCCAACAACTGAATCTGAAGTTAAATGGAAATATAATTCCTTAAAAAAATCGTCAGCTTGTGACGAAATAACAAATAAAATTGTGACAACTCATTCTCATCTAATTAATCACTCATTGAGTAAACACTCCTTTATTTCCTACATAGTTTAACTAATGATGGGAGACGACCAATTTGGATTCAGGAGAGGAAGAGGAACCAGAGATGCCATCGGAGTTATGAGAATAATTTCAGAGAGAGTTCTCGATGTCAAGGAAGAAGTATGTGCCTGCTTCATCGACTGGAAGAAGGCTTTCGATCGAGTAAAATGGAAG